TCTTGAATCTGACATTATGACATCAGGACCGTATTTGACAAAATCAAGTTGATGATGGTTGCGTGAAGACGAAACGTTTTATAGCGAAATTGATGATGCCATATTGGAAATCACCAAAAGTTGCTGTGAAGATGTTGCAACAGATTTGTTCCAGTCTGACTTATAACGTTAGAAAAAAGTTATATCGAAAACCCAAAAATTCACTTTTTTTCAAAATAACCCAAAAACGAAGAGTCGCATCTCGGATTTCTTGACATCACATTGTTGGTCTGTCGATTGCACAACTTTTTTTGCCTTTAAATGAAACCGTATCTTTCATAGTTCAGAATATCCCCATGCTTGCCCTCCTCATCTTGGACACAGTGTATATCCTCGGTTGAACACCTCAATAGGTAACCTACCTCCAATAACCTGGTCGTTCACTCTTCAAAAACATCATTCGTTACATATAGCAGCTCCGTAATCACTTGGCTGCATTAGTGTCCACGAATATCTCCTCATGGATATGACATTGGGTAGATTCCATACCCTGTGCATGGGTTCATTGAATTTAACAATCATCACTGTTTTATCCTGAAAGCGTTTGGCAACTCACTATGACAAGACTTCAGAGCAACGAAACATTGTTGAGCATACCTTTCAGTGCATTTGACTTCTATACTGATTTACATCTTGAATCTTGAATGAACGATATCTACGACCAGCCCTAACTGAATTGATGGTATTGAAGCAGGGCCTTGATCACTGTTATGATATTTGGAATTTCTGTATGCCATTGTTTATCTGGTGCGGAGTGAGGCTAGTTAGTATTGGGGTGGAGCTTCAATACTATAAAAAGAAGGTATATCATGGAGATTATCTACATTGAAACTGAATAGGAAAACAATACATTAAAATTCTTTTCTGCCTTGTATTTCGATATGTATTGTTGTTGTTTCTCACTAACTTCAAGAAATTCTGCGAAAGCAAAATGAGAAAAATAGTTCATTGGAGTTGAATAATAATCAAGAAAACCTAAAAATGTGGAAAATAGTTAGTGTGCTCGAAGATTATTGTGTAGAAACTTTGATATCATATCATTGTTACACAGATGCTTTTGGTTCATTATCCCTAGCAAACTTCCATGAGAATATTTCGTTACGAGGAAAATATGAAAAAAAATATTGTGAATTGAAAGTATGATTGTGATATTTCGTTGGAAAGGTAATGTTGTACTGAATCATAATTTCCAGCAAAAGTTATATATTTTCATTGATATAATTAATTGGATGCACTTCCGGTCAAACCCAAAGTGTCATATCTCTACTGATACTAGCCAGATCGTATGCCGTGTGGCGGTCGGATTATAATAACCCCACATTAAGTCCTGCCTGCCGTTGAAGGCGACTAAAAAACCGCCAATAAGTGGAAAATGGTTGATATCATCGCCCGGTGCTATACCACCACATCGTCCCTAAGCGCTGTGGAATGGGTTATACCCATGTTACAGTTGCTAGTTGATGGTTCCGACCAACCCAACCCTATCCAGTCTCCCTCTCCTTCCATGCCAACCTTATTCCTTTTCAATACAGAAAAAGCGGTGCGGAGTTCTTCTCAAGTAGAATAATCTGAAATTCGAATTTCTGAGCGAGAGCAGGTGCAAGAGGGGGTTCACCATCGGCTAATGGAAGTCTCAAGATTGACCTATGTAACATCCGTGGTCTAAGTAAGATCATCAACTAAGTCCATTGACACCTTCAAACTGAAAAGCCAGAATTATTGGCCCTGACTGAAACACAGGTCAATTCAAGGGAGGTCTCTGCCTCTATTTCGAACAAGTCGCTCATGTCGTCGAGGAAAAACTTCTGAAACAAATAAGTTTGATATGTTATGTGGTTCAAACTCGATTGCCAGAAACAGACCAAATATCTTCGTTGTTCCTACTCATCATCAAATGATTCATTCTAGAAAGAGTTTTTCAAATTCTTGTCTCTGAAGCTTGATCCTACCCAGCAGAACCATCCAATTGGGCGACCAGCCGGAGCTTCCGCCATCACTCTCGGCTGAGAGCGGTTAATCAAGAAACCCATACGAATTCCTAATGTCGATAACCATTCTGCCAACACATTTGACTTATTTCTCACTGAAAATTCAGCACTTTCACACCAAAGATGAACGAGCTCCACTTGCAATTCTGATCACATACTAAGATTCACAACCTACCGATTTTTCATTCCATCAACTGCACCAACACTCCCACGTCTTCTGTGGCCGTATAACTCAGGATGCTTGGACGGTGCGAGGATTAGCGTAAATCTTGAAAAAACTGCTAGGGAGAGTAGCCCAGGATAACCAATAGAGTTAATACTACAAATTTTCTAGCTGAGTCAAAGGGTCACCCTAGATTCTGGACTAACCTGGCAAAAACATCTGGACTCCGAACTCAAAAAGGTTACAGCAGCCTTCAGGGTATGCAGAAGGACTTTCGGAGCAGAATGAGGACCCCAGCCAGTATTCCTATATTGGAAATATACAGCAATCATAATGCCGATGACATCATACATTGAGGTTGTATATGGCAGCCCAGGACCAGATTGAAACTAGCTGGGTCCCAGCTGGCCAAAACACAGCATCTAGCATGCACGAGTACCTATCTCAGGAGCTATGAGGAGGGCTTCAACAGATGCCCTGGGTGTCCTGTAGGAGCTACACTCCACTCCACTCCACTTGCACCTGAAAAATGAAACCAGGAAGGTTTACCGAGTCAACCGGGTTAGGCCTAGGTAAGCAGTGGCAGGAGAACATTATGGAACGAGGCTATCCGAAGCTGTCCAGTCCTCCCAATGCTCCAGGACAACTTGATATACCTTGTTACAATTTCTCACAGCGCTTCTCCATTCATTTTCTTCAAGAGAAGGATGAACAGGGCGACAGAATCTAATACACCGTGAGGATCTCGTCTGGTTCACAGATAGATAGTAAGGCAGGTGCGGTGATACACGCGGACTGTGCCCTGAGGTCGAGCATGCCCCGGTATTCCATGCACGAATACAGGCCATCATATTTCACCGACAATAAATTCAGTTAAGGGCATATATATTACCATGCTCATCTCGATTTGTAAAGCGGATCTGAAAGCTCTGGGATCTTCGAGGCTTATCATTAGATTTAGACTCGAATGCAAGTTAGCCCCCAACTCAATAGATAGACCTAACCTAACCTAACCTAACCTAACCTAACCTAACCTGACAGAGTACACATACTCTGGGTGCTGAGCCACAGCGATATCGAAGGAAACGTAGGTACCGATGAATTTGCGAAGCGGGGTACTTCAAATCCTCTTTTTGAGCCTGATGAACCAATAATAAGTATCGTCGGTCAGAAGGCTCTGGATGACCTGCTCTGCTAACGATTCCACACGCAGAAGCAGGCGGAATGAGGCAGACATGGCTTTATATCGAGGGTCATAGCAAACGCCAATCAAACAATCTCCCACAATTATTATAAACAGGAGCGAATTCTCTATGCTGGGTAGGATTTTTTCAACCGGCCACTATAAACTCAGGAGACACATGGCTCCTATCGGTATGGTTGAGGACTCTATATGTGAGAAAGATGGAGATATATCCTCTGCGAATATCCCACAGTGGCTCGTCACGGAAGAAAATGTCTAGGATCTGCATATTTGGAGCCTGAACAGCTAACGAACATCTTCCTGAGCAGAATACTGACCTTCTGCGACGCAATAGAGCGGTTCAGGGAATGACCACGGTTACATGGAATGAGGCCAATCCTGAACTCATGCTTGGGCTTGGGCTAAGAGGCTGCAAGGGCCTTAGAGCATGGGCAAAGCATGCTCAGGTACTGGACCAGTGAGAGCACTAGCGTCGTGATAAGTGTGGGCTCTCAGGTGAAGCTCTGAGATCAGAAGACGGGCCCGTACAGTCTCAGGCACTGTGCTAGCACGGGCAAGATCGCTGGTCATGGGGCACTGGAAACCCGTGGGCAGAACTGACAGCGTTCTGACACCAGGCTAGCGAAGACCATGGCAGGGGGCTCCTTCGAGCGTCTGGAATAAGTCGAGGAGGGGAACGAGGGGAAGCCTAATGAATTGAAGGAATTTGCCACCCTTCAAAGGCCAGATTGTCAGAGGTACGGGACGGAACAACAGAAGATCCAATCAAGCGGTCTAAGTGAGTCGAAGGCCCAGAGAGCTCGCCCCTGGTTCCAAATTCCGAAAATCCAAGCACATGTTCCAATAATGAAAGCAATTCTCAACTCAATCGTTGCTTCAGAAAACACTCTCATGTCAACATATCTCAACACTAAATAGAATCTAGGGGTGCTAACTAAAAGAATACCTCTGTCTTCTGTGAGATAGGTGGTTACGTTATTATCGCGTTATCGCACTTGTCAGACTTATGGACTATTGAACTTATGTCAGAAGTACTCATATCGTTTTTCAATCTCATTCCATGAAACAAATAATTCCAATTAAAAACAACACTAATTGCCGATGATGATGAATTCCCTCAATTCTTATGGTAGGTACCTACATTGTACCTACAATATATACTTCGACGAGTTGTTGATTCAGAGAGTTGAACAGGCGGTAGAAAAAGCTACTGAGAGCATTTCCACCTCCAAGAGAGTGAAAGTCGAGATGATACTGAAACTACCTCAGCTTTCATTAAAAGAAGATGAAACGAAAATGACGCAACGACATTGGTAACCCAAAGAAGGTGGGGAATGAGTAAAGATAGTATAATGAGTTACTTCTCAACCACGATGGTTCTGGGACGGAAGAAAGACGTTGACGTTAAGCCCTCGAAGCTTAGAGAATGTAACTAATCCGGTTTAGCTGATAATCAGGATTTAATTTTTCAAATCGTCCGTGAGTTGATGACCAACACTTCCATATCGCGCTTTTGACTCAAATTCTTCCTGGGCAACTTTGGAAGCCAGACAATACTCAATGTTTTGAAAAATTGATTGTGAAAGGTAGTCGATAATTTATTTCTGATCAGCGAACCTGCAATAGTCTTCAATAAATAAAATCAGTCATTTGATTATTGCATCATAAAAATGTACAATACACCCTGACCATTGAAATAAGTACTCAGACATAATGTAAAAATGACATAACATGAACTCGAAACAAGTAGTTCATGAAAATTGAATCTCAAATTCCAAACGATACATGATACAGTGACAGCACAAGTTCAAGTTCATTTTCTCCTTGAAAATAACATTTTAATTGTATTGGTTCCTGGGTGGTTGGAAACCATATCCTCCTGAGGGACGAGGATGATTATTCCCATAACCATAAGGACGCTTTCCCATTCCACAGGTTGTACCAGCCAGTAAATCATTGACCTTGCCAACCTGGATTCTGAAATTGATTTCTGCGGGATTCAAAGTACCTGTTGCTACTTTCTGGAAACGCGAAGTCAATATCCATAGCTCTTCTTCTCCATTTTTGTTGCCCACAACCTGAAATGTGAAGGTACCTAATATATAAGAATATTCCGAATATCTGTTTCTCTCAATAAGGAATGGGATAATTTCATCAGGATATATTTAATATCATATGGAAGAGATACCACCTGACTTTGTCGCTTAACAAAGAAACATACTCATGAGAAAAGAAATTGACATTATGGAACTTTGATTATTGAATCTTCAAACATCATGAAGTAGTGTACATATTACATGCATGACTTCAGCATTAGAATTAGTTCAAGAATCGCGAGGAAATCAGGTATATTCCTCTTTTCAACAAAGTCGTGTGAAATATCCCGAGGGAGGAAAACCTGGCATCAAAGTGGAACAATATTCGATGGTTCCTAACTGTCTATGGAGAATTCGTGATACTTCCACAAGGTTCGACAGGATGCTGGGTGCTTGGCAATTTTCTAATTGGCATACGGAATTCATTCGGAAAGTTGATTTCAAATATTGTTTTTCGTTCCACTATTTTTTTTATCGCTTGGAGCGCACGAAAGGGAATCCCTATAATGTTCAAAGAACATCGTGCGTTCCTAGGGAGGATAGGGACAGCAGGTAGGTATTGGAATTTTTATATAGTAGATATTACATAGATATGAAGGATTTCTTTGATCAAGCGAATCCCTTTCCTTGAAATCAAATTACTTCAATCGAAAATCTTCCATTTGTATTGAGCAATTCACATTTGACTCAAATGAATTGCCTTGCTTGCTTAATTTCTGGAATTCTCTTGATACGGATTTGCTCAACATAAACAGTATATTTCTGCATTCAAGGAAACCGCGAATATAAGTGACATGAATTTCAATTCATATTGGTTCGAGAAAATCTCTGCTTGTCTGAAATGCCTGTAGTGACGAAAACAGCATACAGCGGTGGAGGACAACTATAAACGCCTGCGCACATTCAGTTCAAAACAACGGTGCAAGACAGTCAAGACACCGTTGTTTTTCAATAGTGAAGTGTTCAGGAACCAAGTGTGCTGTGTTCTGAGTCATGGATAATAATGATAATATACATTTTTACACCAATGCGGCATTCACATTCGAAGACAATCTGCGAGGGTAAGGTGAATATGTATTGGTTTTTATTTCGAACGAAAACGAACTGAACTTCGTCTATTTTCATAACATTCCATTGTCTCAAGTCTTCAATTTCAGAACACCAACACGGTTTTTTCTCCAAGCGTGCAATTGAAACAAACTTGATAATTTATTCAGAATACATCTCAAATGCACTAGACAATCGAGCACAGGTGGACTCGTTGTACACTGATTTCAGTAAGGCTTTTGATAAGGTTGATCATAACATCCTTATCTCGAAGCTTGCTGGAATCGGTGTGCAGGGAGACCTTTTGAGATGGTTATCATCCTATTTACACAATCGAAGCCAACTCGTGAATCTCAATGGATATAGGTCAGCACCCTTTGTGGTCACTTCAGGAGTTCCACAGGGTTCACACCTTGGCCCATTGTTGTTCTCGGTCTTCATTAACGATTTGATAGGGTGCTTTGAACAATCCAATATACTTTTATATGCGGATGACTTGAAAATTTTTGGAAAGTAACCTCTGTTAAGGATTGTACGAAGATTCAAGGAAATCTATCAAAATTTTCAATTTATTGCAATCGCAACAGAAACACCGAAATTAGTGTCGATGATTTCCTACCATGTTCCTCAGAGGTATACCAGAAATAGACAATTATTAGCGTGCTCCAATTATAATACAAATTTAGGTAAAAATTCTCCAATGACCAGAATGTGTGATTTATTCAACAAATATTGCAATAATGTAAACATTTTTTCCATATCTTTATGTTCCTTTAAAAGAATTACAAAAAATATTTTTATTTCCTAATATCATGATGATGAGTAATTTTTTACTAATAAGTATTCATTAATGAAATTGCTTACTATTTTTCCCGTATCTTATTTATGATTGTCATTTTCATACCTCCTATGTAATTAGGTGTATTTTTGTATTTTTGTATTTGTTGAGACATGAATGTTAGCTCTGTAACGGATTGTATTAGTGGATGCTTGTATGGGTAACAACCTGTTAGTATCCCAAATTCCGAATAAATAAATAAATAAACATATAGCTGTACTGAGGTGTGTTTGATCCATATTTTATCGAAAATTTTCTAACAATCAATCAAGACTCAAACCATAACTACACATCACCTCCAACAAATGGCAATGTTTGTATAACCTGCACAACGCATTCGTTCAGCTGTGACCATGGACGTATACGTCCATGGCTGTGACGATATGATTCACCAGTCGTATTCATTCGATAAACGCCCTTATATACAGGGTGTCGAGGTCTCCTAAGGGAGCTAAGGCCCTCTGAAAGGGGGCTCCTGAAGATGATATTTCTTGACAATTTCCGATACGCCATCATGTGATGAAATGATGAAATTCATTTCACAGAACAAGTGATCTTGTTACGCATTGATCAGATGTATGATTTCCGAGTAAAATCGATTTGAAAATATTGATGCACTCACATCTTATGCATAACATGCAAATTTACGAATCATAGTGGCTATTAAAAAAGTACTTTCTTTTTACCAAACAATCTCATGAAAGCGCGAAATATAAAAGAATGATGATGAAGAATCTACTTCGAGTTTTGTGCATTTTTTCACATTTCCACTAGGCGTCTTCACAATGTTATGCATAATATGTGTGATGTAACAATAGTTTTGAATTGCTTCCACTAGAAAATAATACGTGACGGAACAGGAGTAACTTTTTTCTGTAAAGAGGTGCGACATTTCATAATCCGAGATTAAATTATCGAAAAATATGCGTACAAGAAATGTTGAGCAATATTTAATATAGTCCCACCCTGTATTATACCAAGGCATACTCTATTATACACTCCTGATTGAAATCCCGAAATGATTCCATTTTCACTGCATTGGGCATGAAAATTCTAATTTTTGTACCAAATTGCATTGTTTTATTACATGGAGTCTCCAGGAGCCCCCTTTCAGGTTGTTAAAATCGTATTTACCGTCATAAAAGCTAGTTGATATATTTTGATTTGTTACGTCTACCTGCTCCTCTTAACGCTATTCTTTCTCCACATTCCTACCGGAAGATTTATATATCAACAAAAAGAAACACCAACTTCATTATGGTTTCACGGTATCCTATATCTTCAGTTTTGAAGATAACTCTGCTGCATCATATTCGGTACGAAACCAAGTTCATCTCTAAAGTAGAGGTCGTACAAAATATACAGTTTCATGAAGAAAATATTCCTTCAGATCGACGCATACTCTCGCGTGAAGAGTTTTTCAAAAAACAAAAACATCAGAGGATTTTGAAAAATATCATTCTCACCTTTACTCCACTTGCAAACTGCAAAGTTACAGGGTTATCAGCCACGATATCAGTACTTTGAATGTCCATATATTGACCTCTGGTGTTGTAGCAAGCTATCTTGACGTCGCTCATCAGACCAAAGAACATAATTCCATCTTTACTCATCGCCTCTGCGGCACTTTGTGTGCCTCTGCCATCACGGTAAGTCTGGAAATCAACAAATTGTCATCACATACCACTCAAACTGCGTTATTTTGTATAAATAGGGTGTCCCGTGACTCGATCGCCAAAGCTCAATGGTATATTCCTTGAACAATTTTAAGTCGAAAGTGCCTCATACGAGGAATTGAATAACAACTTTACTCACCAGTGGATGCAAGACGTGGTACAGTTCTTTGACCACCGAGGTCACCTGACCACTATTATCTTTGGAGACCCATGAAAACTCAAGTGTATTCAAATAAACCACAAACCGAAGATGAACTAATTAAAAATAATTATTATGACTATAGCTGCATCCATAAGAGACGATACCCATCACAGATACTCTCCAGAGATCAACGTGTTCAATAATTTAGACGAACAAGAATGTGTTGTGAAGCTGCAAGCGGACATTTTGAAACAAAACTTTGATTAAATTTGTAAAAGTAATGAGAAAAAATAGATTGATTAAATATTACATCACTTTATTCAACATTCTCTTTGCGCCATTACACACTCTATCAATGAATACTCAATGATATTGCTCATTACAACTATATATAGAGTTTTGGACAAAAGTGTATGAGGCACTTTCGATTTCAAATTAATCAAGCAGGAATATGCCCTCAAGCTATGGCGACCGAGCCACGGGACACCCTGTATGAGTTGGTTCTTGAGTAATTATACAGGGTGAGCGAAATTGGACACTTTTATAGAAAAAGTGGATTTCTCGAACTAAATATGAGAAAAATAATGTTGGTGCCTGAGGGTTAATTTTCATGACAAACTCGACGGTGAAAATCTCCTCTTTTTACAGAGTTACAAGGTGTTCTTCGAAAATGAGCATTCTCGGAAAGTAGCTACAAATAATAGTTGGGCAAGATGTTCTGTTCTCACCAAAAAAAAAATATCGACTCTGTGATAAGAATCGATTTTCAGGGACAATATATGTCTCTCGGTCCGTTATTCGTCAACCCATTAGCTACATACATCCTTATCATGATCCAACATAGGTTCAACTGTTTCACCTAGTTCTCAGTGAACCATTCAATACGCTTCTCAGATCCATAACAGAATATTTTTTTGTCTCTTTTCATGACTCGCTCATCAGAGGCTTCGTCCTACCCTGATAGCACACAACGTTCTAGGGACGTCTCTATTTGGTACAATTCAAGTCCGAATGTCCCGGACCAAGAATAAGTGTCCTTGGGACGTCCCATCCCGTACATCTCATGCAATGTCCGAGCAAGAACGTCCACGGAATGTCCCAGCAGGTACATCATTCAAAATGTCCTAGAAATAGCATCCCTCAGACGTCCCACGTGGTACATATTCAAGAATGTCCATGCAAGGACGTCCTTGGCATGTACCTGATGGAATATGATTTTAAACGTTCCTTTAGGGACATCCATCGGATATCCCGAGTAGAACATATTCTGGCATGACTTCAGATTTTATATAATGTCCCTTCTAGACAACCATGAAATGTCCCTGATGGTACATTCCTTCAAATATCTGCACAAACACCCTTAATATTTCCAGAATCGTATAACAATCGAAATGCCCCTTAGGGACATCCTTCGAATGTCCCTTAGAGATATCCGTCAGATGTCCCAGTTGGTACATGGACTGTTCTCTTCCAATGTCCTAGAAATAAGTCCTACGGACTTTCCAGTCGATACTTTCAATATGGTGTCCCTGCGAGGACGTTTAACTTACACCTCGCCGACGAATGATTGCTCGTAGGCTATAAATACTTCCCGTCAATGTCCTTCACGAAAGTACATTGGACATCTTTGGGAAACTCTTTCAGGGTTTATTGGGGACATTCTAAGGACCATCAACTCAACTGGATGTCCTCATCCTTGAGGGACCCAGAAAAATATGAATTCAAGAATAATTCGTACGTCCCTGGAACATCCTATGGACATCCAATTGATATTCCTCAGCGTTGCTGATTGGTTGTCCTACGGATGTCCTAAGAATGTCCTCCGTATTTGATAGTTGTCCCATGGACATCCCTCAAGAGCCTAGTTGGTCCTCAAGTGGGACATTTGTGCTTCCCACAGACGTCCAATGGACGTCCACGGTACCAAATTCGAGTCCTGAATGTCCCGACAGGACGTCCTAAGGATATCCAAGGGACATAATAGTGTTAATGGGGTAGTCGGTCCTGATTTTGATTGGCTTCTCATTTGGGAAGGAATGCAAAAAATCAATATTTTAGAGCCGTGCTCAGAGTCATGAGAACTTACAGTCACAACTCCACCACATTAACAATTCAATGACCAACGGTCATGGACAAAAGGACATGTGTCCATGACCGTTTGTCATTATTGAATTTTCGATGCGCAGTTTTCGTCATGAATCAAAAAATTATATATGTTATCTTGATATTACGTCAATATTTAGAAATTTCAAATCTACATCTCCAAACTCGTCTCTCTAATGAGCTTCATCCAGAAACGAAATGAAATTTATTAAAGTATATCATTTGAAAAAACGTATGTTTGGTATGTCACAGGCATATGGATCACCCTGTATAGTTGACATTCTCCAAAACAGAAAGTTATCAGATGAGGAAGTGGCCCATGTTATGTGTACATTGTGTACCTTCAAAAATACCGAGAGATCATATTCAAACTAAGCCATATGTTCTTGAAAGTATATACAGTGTGACTCACTTCTGATGGAAACACCCCTGTATCTTACTCAATCGTTGGGTAGGGATTCTGAAATTTGTAGGAGCGAGATATATACCAAAAATGCACTCTATGACCCAGTGGGGTCATCTTTAGTGATATACACTGCTCGCCAACAGTCTTGGAACCACCTCGATTTCCCGAAAATGATATTAGGAGTCAAAATAGGTTGAAAATCACTTCGGATTCGGAATCAGGACGCCCAATTCACTTTCTATTTATAATTCTCCTAGAAAATTTCCAGTTCAGAAAAACTAGATTTTGTCTCACCCCCGTATCTCACGTAAGTATTGAGGTAGGGTTCTGAAATTTGCAGGTGGAAGAAAAAGTCGAAAAGTTAAGTCAAAAACATGAGATACGGGGGTGCTTCCGTTAAAAGTGCGACAAAATTGAATTTTTCAGAACTGAAAATTTTCCAGGAAATATATGAATAGTTAGTGAATTGAGTGTCTTGATTCCGCATCTGAAGTGAATTTCGATCTATTTTGACTCCTAATATCATTTTCCGGAAATTGGAGGGGTTCCATGGCTGTTGGCGAGCAGTGTATATCACTGAAGATGACCCCACTTGGTCATAGGGTGCATTCTTGGTATATCTCTTGCTCCAGCAAATTTCAGGATCCTTACCCAACGATTACGTAAGATACAGAAGTGTTTCCATTAGAAGTGGGTCACACTGTATACCTGTAATACTTTGATATTCTAAGAGAAATAATCTATTTCATCATTTCATTCGGATGATCTTGGATCCTCCTAGGAAAACCCCAAGAAACTATTGATACTGCTTCTGCCTTTGCGGAAAATGTAAAGTTGGTATGGACTCTCTAGGGAGAAAATGTGTCACATTATCTCTCTAGGGTCTATTACGAGACTTCTGCGCCTCTTTTTTTTTATAGACAGACTAACTTCTCCTCCCAGCGTAAAAATACATTTACTATCTCTGCGAATAGTAGAAACATATTTTCAAGTTCAAGTCGAAAAATAATCTGTGACATGATGTATTCTCCGTGTTATTTTTAAAGTGAAGAATTATGAGCTATCCATCAGCAACGGAGGTTCCGTATCTGTTGTTGAGTGATCTGTGACGAGAACTGGCTTAGGTATTTTCGAAAAATTAAAAAAAATATATTGAATGTCAGAAGGTCATTGATTGAACTATGTTACTCAAAGTATGGAAAAAATCTGAAGGCGAATGCTTGTTTTCCACTTTTCTGCTGTTCTGGCTGAATATTGTTTCATTCATTCCATTCCATGCAGGTATAGTAGAGTTGTTCAGGAAATTTCACTGAATATCTACTTACCTATTGACATACTCCATTGACTTCATTCTTGTTATAACAAAATCTATGTAATCTATTGAATCGTCAATTTTCATGTAAGAAATCAGCAGTTAATGCAATTTGAAATAATGATTGATTAACAAAAGTGCAACAACAAAGACTTATTTTCGCTATTAATTATAGTTATACCTGTGCTGGTTATAGTTATTGGATGATATTTCGAACCATTCATACCAGCAATGCAATGATTCATTCTATTTGATAATTCATTTTAAATTTGATGTTAGGATTAGAAAGTATTTGCTTACATTGAATTTTGATGTAAGGATCAGAAAGTATTTGCTTACATTGAATAATCGTGGTGAAGATGAGGGGTCGTCTTCGAATAGTGACTGGTTTCGGAGATATGAAGTGTATACCCAATTCTCTGTGGAACTGGACATGGCATGATAGTATAATTTCCTGTCTTTTCCAGGTATCTGAGGCGAAAGAGACATTCCAAGAACTCCGTCCATAAGTTCGAAGCTTTCACCTGAAAATCAAATCAATATGAAGTGTGTCAATCTACAGTGTTGATATCGGGACAATTGAAGGAATACAGAGAAAATTCCTCAGGCATTATGCATTCAGACTGGGAATGAATTGGAATCATGATTATGACAACATTCAAATAGAGCACAGGTTTGGAAACTTTAGAAAAACGTAGGTTCAACGCAGACTTGCTCTTTTTATATAAATTGTTAAATGGTATCATTGACTGTCCCGAACTTGTATCCGAAATTCAGCTAAGTACAAACAGTAGGACTAGAAACAAAGCACTATTTCACATTAACCATCATTCCACAAATTATGGCATGCATAGCCCTCTCTCAAGGATACCAAGGGAATACAATAACAATTGTATACATTTCGACATTTTCAGTAATTCGTTTCAGTTATTCAAGAAGTCATTGATTACCATTAATAGTATCCCTTTATAAGCAGCTGTGTTTGATTTCTGTGATATAGATTCATAATGATCTAGGATATACCGGGTGTCCCAGTTTACCTGTTCCAATGGATTATCTCAGCTATTTCGAAAGATGAAAATTTGAAAATTCCATGATCCCCAATTCGTTCAAGGAACCTTTATTTGAGAAAAACAAAAATTGAAAGTCACCTCCGGTTTGACCGGAAATGACTCTGACTTTTTTATTTCAAATAGCACCCTGTATATTTTTTGCAATTTTTGTTTTCGTCTCAAAATCACCTTTCCAACGATGTATCACACTTTGTATTTTACATTTGATTTGATGGAGAAAACGTCAATTGAAATTTCAAATTGAAAGAATAATAATTGCAGTAGGCTACGATATTTTGTGTAATCTTGATTTTGATTTCAATAATAATTAATAATTCATGAACAATTTTGCATTCGAGATGATGAAGATAATGTCAAATTTCAAATTATTAGAATTGTAGTAGAACTGGAAGAATTAATAATTCCTAAATGAAAACCTTAGTGTGCGATGAAAACATTTGAATACATTTGTTTGTAACTTTGACAGTTAATAATTCTCAATAGTTGTGTGCGTGTCAGAGAAACTAACATTCAAGTATGAATAACCGTGAAAATGATGATAACTTCACTAATCAAGAGAAATTGGATATGATACTGATTTATGGAAAATGCGATAATAATCGTCGGGCTGCCCTACGTGCATACAGAGAGAAATACCCTTATAGACGAATGCCAAGCGCTATGTATTTCACACGCTTGGCTTCGAATTTGGCAACAAGTGGATCATTTTATAGAAAGCGTACTGTCTTTGAAAGAAAAAATGCTACGGACGAAGAGCATATACCGTTGCAGTTTTAGGAAGAGTGGTTGTTGATCCCCATATCTCTATTTTAGAAACATAGAACAGGAGAGCGGTATTTCTCGTTCATCAATTCAGCGCATTCTCAAAATTGCTAAATTCAAACCATTTAAAATTTATCTGCATCAAGGATCACTACCCACAGATTACGAGAGGAGACTTGTGTTTCTTGCTTGGTTAGCTACGGCACGTGAAGATGGTATTATCAGCTCGATATTGTGGCACATTGTGGTCAGATGAGAGTCGTTTCCATAATAATGCAACTGTAAATCGACATAATTGTCATTATTGGTCGCAAAATAATCCACACTGGCTAAGACAAACTAATTTTCAAGTTATCTGGGGAGTCAATGTATGGTGCGGCATGATTGATGGATTCATCTTAGGACCAAAATTTTACGGTGGTACGTTAACTGGTCCAATGTACCTAGAATTCCTTCGGGATGAAGTTCCTCATTTTCTTGAAAATATTCCTTTACATATGCGTAGAAACATTCATTTTCAACAGGATGGTCCACCCCCCTTCCCCCACAATGCTATAGTGGTAAGGAAATGAAACATTTGGAGATAGATGGATCGGCACACACGGACCGATAAGATAAGATCTCCAGATTTAACACCGCTGGATTTTTTTCTTTGGGGGTATTTGAAAGATCGTGTGTACCAGACTTCTGCTATTGATTCAGATAAAACAAAATAAGGAATGAATGTAGAGCCCTTAATGCTGAGGTGTTGAGAAGTGTTACTTCGCGTGAACTACTCCACCGAGCTGAAAGATGTGTAGAAGCAGTTGGTCAACATTTCGAACAAATGCTTTAGTTATTATATTCTTGAGCCCCCTTTCTTTGTAATTTTCAAGATTACACAAAATAGTGAAGCCTACTGCAATTCTTTCAATTTGAATTTCAAGTGACGTTTTCTCCATCAAATCAAATGTAAAATAAAAAGTGTGATACATCGTTGGAAAGGTAATTTTGAGTAGAAAGCAAAAATTGCAAAAATATACATTTTCTATTTGAAATAAAAAAGTCAGAGTCACTTCTGGTCAAACCAGAAGTGACTTTCAATTTTCATTTTTCTCAGTTGAAGGTTCCTTGGACGAAATGGAGATCATGAAATTTTCAAATTTTCATCTTTCGAAATAGCTGAGATAATCCGTTGGAATAGGTATACTGGGACACCCGGTATAGCAACTGTGAGTGATAACTGTGATAGATTCATACTGATTTAGGATATTCTCTCGTTATTTATGTTTATTTGTATTTGTTGAATATTTACATAGGTATATATTATATATATATATATTTTTTCCCATCTTGTAATAATATTTGTGATTATAATGTATGCAATGGATAACCGTAAATAAAGTTCTATTATTCTATTCTTATCTCTAAGTGTGAGCACTCTCGAATGTTGGGATATATTGTATGATTATTTTTTTATCAGGTCTTCCTCAGAAGAATCCATCAGAGTAATATTTATAATCACAAGGTATCTTGTGCATCAATTGCACCAATAAACAATTTGAAGATTTCAATGAGATTTTGGGGTGTTCCCTATTGGTTCCAGGCATGACTGACGTCACTTCTGTATACAAATTCAATTATTCAAAGTGTTTGGAAGTGGCACACCTACCTTAAAAAAACGTTTTCTCCAAGCGGATAGAAAGTGGCTCATTTTCTCTGACACTCAAAGGCAAGAAAGGTGTACTTTCTCTGCCTAGGCAGGAAAAGTTTGTTGCTATGCACTATCACAAGTAATTTGAATGAAATTAATAATCACAATTATCAGATAAAAATTTGAATAAAAATGGTATTATAACATTTGGAGAAAAAATTATATGTTTCACACGGCAGCAAATGTAGAATGACTGCCTTGGCTGAATTCTTAGCTTCGCTACGCTCGGCTATGGACTATCAGCCGCAGCAGTCAAATTACTACTTTTCTGCCTCGTGAAACAAATAACTATCATTACTAACGTGAATGAATTCGCCGAGAAATGCGTACCTATTTCAAATGTATTTCTCTTCTTTCAAACAAGAACTAAAGTGAGAACGAATACATAATTTGATTGTTCTTCAATAACGTATCTTCAGCTCCATTCATCAATGTTCATAGCATATTGTTCACTTATTCGAATTGAGATTTGACAATTCGTTCACAGCGTTGTAACATCATCGATCGAATAGTGGTCCACGCCTGTCAGTCAATATCATTCTCATACATACTAGGATTCTAAGCAAAATTTTTAAGCATGAAAGATCACTTTTGAAATCACCATGGAACATGCAAGGTGTCAACAGCCATTGCTGTTCATCCATGATGATTGATGTTGAAACACTGGCATAACTACTATCTAGCTAGACCGTTATATAAATCATATCCCAGCAATCCGAAATACAGTTTAATTTACTCGTCCGGAAACGCTTCTGATCAATGCGCAGAAACTATCATTAACGAAATCGAGGCATGTCTCTTGGTGTTCGCAACCATAAGTAAGAGTGAGTCAGATATGTGACAAGCATTAGTGGTCTAGTTAGTTATTTATGTCAATGATTGAGAACTCGTTATAACTTCAACTACGAAAAAGTCCGAATGCTCAAAAAGTGGAATGAAATGTCGAATTGATATACAGAGTCCAAAGTCATTTCCACTTATTTTCAAGAATGAACATTCAAGAATGCAGAACATTGAATTACATTCTCCTGGAATCTATGCCCTGATTCGTATGAACGAATAAGATTGCAAGTATTTCATTCCTAAATGCTGGATTGTGCTTAAATTATTCAGGAATGCTTGACTACCTACTGACCGGTTTCTAGCTTTGGCTCCCATCAGTACAGAGGTGTCCCCAGATGGGATTTATGACCGACATTTGGTGCGAACCTGACCCAACGTCTCAGAGTTTGATACCCATGAGGCGTTCGGCCACTGCGAGATGGACACGAGCGCCATCTAGGGTAGAAGAGAAGGAACAGTCCAAAACAAATTCTCATTCCAGATGGAATAGGAGTGGCTGAATGTCCGACTGCTCGAAGTCATTTCCACAAATGTTCATTTACGAACAGGTCAGGTTCGCACCAGATGGTGGTCATGAATGCCATCTGGGGATACCCCCACACTGATGAGAGCCAAACCCCAGAACGAGTCTGTAGGGAATCAAGCGTTCCTGAACAATTCGGGCACAATTCAGCATTTAGGAGAAAAACACTCACAATCTTATTCGTCTATACGAATTTTTGCATAGATTTCGGAAGGATGTGATTCAATGTTCAGGGTGGCATATAGCCAGGAATATAGTTGTTTTTCCCTCGTTATCTTTGTAGAAATAACGTTGAGCTTAGCATATTCATTTTCGTTTTAACTTGTTATGATCGAGACTGATGTGACAGATTTCCAACTGACTGCATCCTACGTCATTTGACTCAACTGACGTGATTGTTTATGGCGCCTACACAATGAAAATCACTCATTATGCATATATTTTTCAATCCGATGGTACTTTGAATTACTCATTCTTACCTTGGATGTTATAAGTTCCATAGTTTGGATAAGGATACATGGTTCTGTGAGAAACTCTCCAGGAACGATTGCGTTGGGCATCATAAACGATGATGGAGTTGCCGATACAATCAGCAGCATAAACGAAAGTGTTTCCACACTGCCCATCTCTTATATCAACTACAGGAGTGACCAAAAGGGAATCTGATTCGAGTTGACTGGCCGGAACTTCATAGCGATGAACCAGTGTGTTCTGAAAATATCGAAGAAGGCATAGTTAGGTATCTATGATTTAATACAAAAATATGGGTATCCAAAATTCCACAGGAATATGTAGAGCTTCCTAATATTGTCTGAAGTAGGTTACAAGTTGTTGAGCATGATTTCTTTCATTTTTTTGGGGAGGGGATTGGTGGCTATCTTTCAGCAAGAGAGAAGAATACTCGACTTATACGAAATGGTGAATAACTTCAGAGAATCGGTGTCGATTCTAGTGCACATTCTTCGAGGATAATGAGTGGAATGCCGTTAGCTTCATTCGTTTTGAGACCATAGTGATAGTGCGTTTCCGGAAGAAGATTTCTGGCATTCAACTTTCAACTGATAGAAAATCTGGCAGCAGTTTCCCAATATCTGCGAAAATGTTTGCTTTCACTTGCGATGTTGTTGTTGATGTGACGTAAGCTTTGAAGAGTGGAAAAATCATAACTGATCCATCGCGGAAGCTGCTTCACAAAAACTAGGATTTTTGATCAGTGCGAAAATTAACTTTACACCTCAACAGCTTCTCATTATCTACAAAGCAGAGATAGGTACGGCCAATCCCAAATAACATTATCAGTTTTATTGTTAGCTAAAGGAGGTTATTACAGCCTATTTGAAAATGCCTTTTTAAAACTATTATACTTTAATGATATCATTATAACAATTAAACAACTTTCTCAAATCATAAAGGGCCCACCTTTATAAATGCTGTCACAGCTTCCCTTGAAGCTTGTCATAAAACTAATAGGAATTTATTGTAGTATTTCTCAAAGCAGTAATAAAACCTATCAAAACTACTTCCTTCAAAGCCTTTTAGCACGAGTTCAAACCTATATGTTCTAAAACGACAGTTCTTATGCCAACATTAAAACTTATTGGCTAGAATTAAAACCTTTTCAGTTGCAGTAAGCATTTGTTAAGATAATATAGTCCGTAACGTGTTTTATGATAGTCTTTTTTTAGAACTAATTTTAATACAAACCTGTCACAATGGAGAGAAAACAATAGATAGTTATAAAAGAGATTAAACATGGCGGTATGATATGATAATCCCCTACTGTATCAAATAGTCATTTTTGTGAAGATTGAGGCTGTAAAATGGAAACGATGACGACTTTTTTGACGAAAACATACCAGATATGCTTCAAAAAAAGCAGCGCCATAGAAATAATGTGTTTTAACCAGTTAGAATTGGATGTGAATTTCAATAACTTTTCAATGCATCTTTTCTATTTTCCGCATGAAATTTTTATTTTCATCAATGGCCGACATCTGTTTGTAGTAAATATGGCGCAAAATATACTTAAAACCAACTTTCTTTCTCTAATGCTGAATTAAAACCTATAGGTAATGATAAGGCATTTTATGAGACGATTTCCTCCTGTTGAAGTACTCATTGCATAGTCAAATCCATTCTTATGACTATTTGCTCCTGGGTATGACGAAAAAGCTTCGAAAATGCTAAGATTGATTTAAGAAGGTTCTAAGATAATGCCTTCATAACTATAAAGCTTTGAGAATATCCTGGCTAGTGCTTATTAGCAGTGTTGCAAAGTGTAGAAGAACGTCATCAACTTGAATAACATAACCCCACTCTTGTTGTTTTTACTGTTCACTTTGCAAATTTTGTGATTGGTTTGAAGTAGGAAACCGAGTGGAAACATAGACAAACAACACGCAGTGCAGTCGTGTGCAGTTCGCCTGATATTGTGTTGATTGCTCCATTCTCTCAAATTCATGCCCTACTCGCCATCGCTGACATAATTTGTGCAAAACTGTTGTCAACTTCCTCGCTTCCTAGTTCTCAATTTCTCATTCAGAAGCACGATGATCAGAAGTATTTTCCATTACGTTCTGACTCGTTGATGGTACTTCATGAACATCAGGTCCTAATGAATTCTTGCTATTTGGTGGTTTCAGGTGGTATGAATTGAAAGACGCAGTGTTTGGAATTGCTTGGGCGTGAGACTTCTGATTTACTGTTGCTCTTACGATTTGATTTTTGATTCTTAAGTAATTTACTTCATTTTTCCGCTTGAAGTTGCCATTTCTCTTGATTTCACACTATTTATTTCCTTGTGAGTTCATTTCAACGGAGTCGTTTGTTGGCAAAAAAAATACGAACATTTATATTATGGGATTTGGGTTTAACACGGTTCTGAATGAAACTTCATGAATCCTATAGATTTTATGATTGACTTCGATGAATTCATCGTGGCTTATAGGTTTTAATAATCACTTTCACATAGCTAGAATAATGCCAATAGGTTTTATTATTGCCTCAGTCAAATCCTAATTGGCCTAATGTAAATTTGGTTTTATGATTGCTTTATGACGTATTTTCATAGGATTAGTTCAGAACCTCTTGGTCAAAATCGAGACACTAATAAAACTTAAGAGTTTTAAGAGGGTTGGTAAGAGTGAATAGTTTTGATAAAGAATTTCAATGGCTCTCACAGAGCTCTCTCAAAACCGAAGTGAGCTGAATGCCAAATTGTTTTATGCGATAGTTCTATCATAGTATCTCAAAGCCTTTCAATAAGATTATATGGACATGAAGGCCAATATGCTTTTTCCAGGGCATTCATGAAACGGTAGAAAAAATTAGACCTATCATTTGCGCTCACATAACCTCCCTAAAGTCTCATCGAAGCTATTGGGCATTTAAAATGTTACTTGGGATAGAAAACTGTGCTCACCCAAACATACGCTGATGCTCTCAGATTCCATCCAAAAAAGACCCATTCGCCTGGTGGGTGATGCAACACTCACTAGTTCGTTGACCGATACTTTCACGAGAAATGTACCTCAGAAATCTCTGATATCATTTCAACACAAGGAATACCAGTCAGACATCCATTCGTTGTCAAGTTCAAGTTCAAGTTTATTTTCTCATTTCTTAAACTGTATATGTGACACGTCGAAAACAGAAATACAAAGAAACTACACATGAATAGTTCAGCAAATACATATCAAGAAGGGAACTCATACTCTTTGAGGGAGTAAAAGCAACTTGTTTGAATATATTCTTTGAGGAACTTACAAATTGCAATATTTTGTTCCTGAGTAATTTGGAGATTTTTCATACCCGGAATTATTCTGCATGAAAGATATACGGAATTTGAATGAAGTTATTACTTTTTATGACGGTAAATGCATGGTAGTGCAAAAATAAGGTTGGTTTCGAATGTTTCTTTGCTATATATTTGACATGAGAAATCAGACGCAAAAAACATTTCTGCATAATGAAGATCCTATCTATATCTGATGCTAGTCCCCAAATGGAAATATTTATACTTATTATTTTGGAATAGGTACACCAATCCATAGTAAATGTCCAGAAGATTATGATTCGTGAAATTCGACTTCAATGTTATGCATAGGTACTGAATATGTTTGTTGAAAGATAATTTTATCGGTGAACACATTTCTGTAGCATGTCAGGTCGACTTGATTGGTTGAATTTTTTTCTGGTTCATCTTTTTCCTAAATACTCCATTTGGTTGGTTATATTCTTCCTGTTATAATATTCAAACCATCAGTATGAACTTTGGTGTTTACTCCTGTTGTATGAGTTCATAGGGTTGTATAGATTTGTGGTTCCAATCAGTCTCGGATTCTTATTTGACCACATATTACATCTGGGAACTTTCTTATTGAGACTTGAACAGCAACTTTCTTCGCTAACACAAAATTAGTTTAACTTTTTGCATTACGTGGTGTAGAAGTCGTTAGACCGACGAATGCCAATATTAAATTAGGATTTCAATGCAATGACGATCTGGTAGTAAGTGGCGATCTCATCGTTGAACATTGTATATCATAAGGGAAAGCTTCTTTTGATAGCAGATCAGCAATCAAAGTGTAACTTCACTTCGTAACATCTAAGTCGAGAGCTGCTAATTTCAAGCCAAAATATAGTTGTAAGAGTCGTTCATGAGAGTCGTTCAAGAATTGCGTCCAGATTTATTGGAAATTGTATTTCACTCAATTTCACCATGACATTGTCTCATCAATTTTTGCTACTAATCGGTAATATCATGCGGAATATCATTGTTTATAATATGGAGCACCTTGAGTTCAGCTACTAATGATTTCTTTCGAGATTCCACTCGAACCGGTGTACTTTATTTACACTACCAAACGGTTCATTTATTTCCATTATATGTACCTATATAGTTTTCGCACTAGTATAACATTACAACACAATGAACTCAATATGAGTTGTTTACATTGAGTTTATTGGTATAACACTACCACGATTTTAACTTAATGTGATTGTACCTGATGGGCACCATAACGTCCATAACCTATTATAGTTATTGGGACATTTTGGTACTTGAAAAAAATAATGTCAGACGGTTCGAACTACTTGCTTTATTGATAGAATATCTAAAGAGTGAGCATCGGACAGTTTAGCTTTTACGGAACCAAAATAGAATTCATATTCATACACACTCAGCAGTGACGTCTACTTCACTTCACTTCACTTTTTGGATATTTCTATTGAAATCCAACATATTTGCCTAATTTATAGTTGCAACAGTAAATAAGTGGTAATTCACAGTTGCAACTGTAAGTTAGGCAATGATTTGTGAACAAAAAAGTCGTTTCAGGGTAGTAGTTTAGAGCCGTCGTAATTCATACCAGTAGGAAATGTGTAATAATCATTTCTTTCAGCCTACATTCAACATATTAATAATAAGTCACTCACCGTCCTGAGGTCGAAAGTCAGTATCTGAGGGGGGCATATTTGAGAATCCAATAATTTTCCGGTGTCAAGCACCCAGAGCCTTCCACATTCGTCAACCTGAAAATAAACATACAAGATTCGATTAGATATGTAAAGAGTACCTATAGGCATCTCGATAATCCAATTATAGGATCCCTATTCACTAATGAAATAATTATCTTGATTTAAATTCCTTGCCAATAATTAATCATGTCTCGTAATGGCCATAAATCAATAGACCTGATGAAAACCTCTACAGAATTTGCAGTAGTGTTTCACGTCGATTATAACAAGTGCTCCTCAAATCAAAGAGATATGTGACGAAGAAACCAAACGAAATGGAAGCGTTTTTTCCGAAAAAATATAGGAAGTTACTGAACTTCAGAGTTTGTCTAGAACTTCTGTGAATCATTGATCAAAGGTTGAAAGCTTATACGGTAAGATTAGAAGTACTGTAAAGATAACTGATTTTTGCAATGTTGCTGGTGGTTCAATGATAGTTCGAAGATGTGTTATGGTGAGTTCTCATATTTAAAATTTAAATTCAACTTTTTGTGTTATCTCTTATATCATTCAGTGAAATCAGAGGTAGCCTAGCTGTCACTACTATGATTCATTTCGTAATGAGTATCAATTGTTTTGTCACTTTGCTCTCTATTGAAAGTTATTCCATCTGAGGAATTTCTCGCAAGTGCCAGAGAGACATGATCCTTCTTCTATTTTTGTAGCTTCTATAAAAAGGCTCCGAAAGTCGAAGCTTATAGAACAGTCTCATGATGATTTATATTCCTACCAGAATATGAAAACTACTGGAGTATCCCTCTCCGAATATTTTTTTCAACAAGTCGTCAAGCCGCCATTTTTACGAATAATATATTATATTTCTGTGAGAGAGTACTCTCCAAACTTCCGTTGAAGGAAAACTATGTTTAGTCATTGAAAAGAAAATTGAAGGGGAAGACAGTCCTTCATGGGCACACTGTATTCATATTTATTGTTCACCGATCTGTTTATTTTTCCTTAAGGTTCGGAAAATGGTTCGAGGTGTCTTTTTTCCAACTAGAGAGCTCTTGTATCGAGATTGAAAGTACCACTTTAGACCCTCGGTTTGAATCCTAATATCACTTACCATAACACGATAAACTGATACAATTCGATCACGTCTGCATTTCTGAGGATTCTTATGCCAGTCCCACGAAGGGTATGGAGCAATTATGGGGTTACCATTGAACTGCCTGTTGGTAACGAAACCCAAGGTAACTGGTACGCCAGATTGAAATCTGGGAATTGATACGAATACTTTTTTCTCATTGTCGTTATCTGAAATGGGCAAACAATAACGAAGTCATTAGGAAATGTCCATGCCATGAGCATTATGAGATAAATGAGCATCGAACATATCAGAATACTGTTGAAGTACCTATCTTATATTATTCGAAATCAGAAGTGGAAAATGAAAAATTTTATGATATGATATAACTATTGACATCTTTTTTCCAACGTTTCACATAAATTTCCATCAAACGTCAGTGTGAATCAAAGTTTGTAATCGAGAGAACAATTATGTTTCTGGTAGGCGAAAAACAATTGTGTGTCACACATGCAAAAGAACGCTTAGCTCACAGCTGCTTTCGCTCGTGCAGCTAATAGCTGCGGGCTGCTGAAGCTTATTTTCTGCCCTTGTGACACAATATACTATCACAGATTCGTTCTAATTATAGTACGGCAATGAGTGTCCAAAAATATGGAAGCATACAAATGGGCTTCATCTCACGAACGAAAGATGGGGAAAAAATTAAAAAAAAACAGAACACTTATACTCCAACTAGACAAGTTTAAATAGCAAAATACCCCTACTAGTGAAACATGCGTTTTCTCTAGGAAAGCCGATCTCACTGTGTCCAACATGAGCTTGTAAGGAGTAACCATACATTTGAAGACATTCATTTCGATGCTTGGTATCAATATCAGCAAGATAACCTTCCTTGGGAAAATCACGTGAGATCAATGGCTAAAAGTGCATCCCGAAAACTTGGTTTAAAACATTATTGAATAGCCAATGAAAAATGCTATTAAATGGTATAAATAATAATGGTACAGGGTGATTCGCTGAATACTAGATTGATACTCAACAATTATATGAGAATAAACATACCATTTGTGATACAATGATAATTGGCGATGAGTTCGATCATGTCATTTCATTTCACTCTTCCTATGTTCATTGTATGGTTCCAAATTATTTATAGTGCATAATGGTAACTACACAATCGCAATCGCTAATAAAAGCAAGTCTCCTCTTGAACATTTCTTATACCATGTCCCTGTATCTGAAGGTTATTCTGATATAATCAATTTGAGATAGCTCAGTTTTATACGGTGCCTACATTTCAGTTTTCAGTGTTATGGCAATTTTTTGGAAAAATTTTCTAGAAGAAGTTCAAGGTATAACCTATGGAAGGGATATGGTAGGTTTTTTCAACTGGCTTACCTCATTTGTGTTTATTGAATACTCTCATACTTTATCAATTATTTACCTCATGATCCTCAAATTGGTGCGTATACATGTAATAATACTTACGTGAATAATATACGTCAGTATCTATTGGGGCGGGAATTCCGGGAACGAAGATGCCATTGTCGATGTCTTCTTGCCTTTCGATGTCCGAGGCATAATCGAATTCAAGTTGAGACCATTGAACAACCACTTCCAATCCTCTGGGTTTGTTTGATGCGAACGTTGCACGAATGGCCGGACTGCAGATGCCCAGAATCATGCAAACAATTTTGACACCTGATGGATACGAAGGTTTATTATTGACTTTCATGATGATAACCCTTCGTTAGTGTAATAGAGTATAGGGGTTGATATACCTGAAAACATTCCAAATGGGCACCTATGCCAACGTCGAGAAAACGCTGAAAATTGGTTGAAATGTTGCGGGAATAAACGTTTTTTAGAAATGTTTTTAGAAAAATTTTGATTCAGCTATTTCCTACTAAATAAACGAGAGTGAACGAGAGAGGTGAGAAAATCTCTCCACTTCCATTTTTCTCTAGAGATATCCGATAACTCTTTCCATTTTGATCATATAGTCTATGTCATGAATGTCATTGACAGATTTATCTTTCAAATTCTCAAATTGAAACTTTGAATATTATACCTACGTTGACATCATTAGGTAATATCAATTTAACACTGTACTGAATTCAAAAATAGTTAAGTGGCACAAACCTGAATGTAAGACAAGGAAATATCTATCAGACTTGTTTATATTCAAATACGACCACGTGGTAGCAATTATGAAAAAGATGGAAGAGGAGAGAACTTTGCTCTCTCTCGTTCGAGAGATAGGAAAGAGATCAATTGGAGTGCCTACCACAATATTTCACGAGGAGGGTGAGAAGGGAGCCTTCCAGATACTGAACGATGAAACGATTTCTTTTTCTATGAAAAACTCTTCAAGGTCCTGTCGCTGAAGCCTGACCTTATACAGTAGAACCATCCAGCAAAAATCATCATCATGGGCACACTCACTCAAAGCGGATGATGCTGGGCGATAAGCCGAAGCTTCCCTAATAGCGCGCAATGTACTAGGGACGCCCATATTTGGTACAATCCAAGTCTGAATGTCCTGGACCTAAAATAATTGTCCTTGGGACGTTCCATCCCGTTCCAAGGACGTCTATGTCCCAGCTACTATATAATTCCAAATGTCCTGGAATTAGCATCCTCTAGATGTCCCTCGTTGTATATATTGTTGAATGACTATGCAAGGACGTCTTTAGCATGCTTCTGATGAGATTTAATCCCAAACGTTCCTCAAGGGACTTCCATTGGATGTCTCAAGTAGTACATATTCTGACATGACTTCAGATCTTGTATAATATCCCTGCTAAAACAACCATAAAATGGACCAGACGTTACATTTCTTCAAATATCTCTGCAAGACCTTGATATTTCCAGGATCGTCCCAATTGTTACATGAACTGTTATGACTTCGGAAGAAACTCCTATAGAGAATGACCTGGATAAGATTCGGTATGTGTCCTGAGGGACATCCATCGGAGTTATAGGTACATCGGCATCAGAACTTCAGATGGACATCCTATATAAATGTGGTCAACGCAAGCGTATGTTTTTTTTCAATGTCCTAGAAATAACGTCCTATGGACGTCCCAGTCGATACAATATGTTGTCCCTGCGAGGACTTCAACTCACACCATGCCGACGATCGACTGTTCGTAGGCTATGAATACTCCTTCCCAGTCAAGGTCCTTCAGCGAAGTCCATTAGAAATCTTTGAGGTATTCATTCGATAGGACCTCTTGAGAATCTTCTCCAGGATCTATTGGGGTCCTTCTACGAATCATCAACTCAACTGAATGTCCCCATCAGTTATGCAAGATCTGGTCCTAGAAAGACCCAAATGAATTAAAGTTCAAGGAAGATTCGTACGTGCTTGAGACATCCTATAGAAGTTCCAGGGACGTCCTTTGATTGTTCTAGATATCTCATGGACGGACGTTCCAGAGGACGTTTCGGAGGATGTCCTTTATTGTATGACATCTGTACAAAAACATAAGTTTTCATGAACTTTTACAATGGACGTCCATTGGGTGATCTCCCAAAAAGGTCCAATGTATATCCTTGGGGGATATCCTTCATTGGTGAGAAGTCGAAACATTTGTACTTTTCTCGGACGAACATGTAACTTCAAAATGCTATTAGGGTTTTGCTATCACTCACGGTCAAGATCAGCTTACTAAGAAATCTACACGAATTCCTGATGTCAACAATCATTCAGCCAACACCCTTGAATCATTCCTCACTGATGAATCAACACCTAACACAATAGATGTAGGAGCACTTCTTGTCAATTCTGATCATCAGACACTCATCTTCAAAATCTGTCATTTTGCATTTCATAAACTGCTACGTAACTCAACTTCTTGTATAACATTATTACTCAGGAGACTAGGACCCTCTCCGCATGTTTTTCTCAGAGTATCATCGGCATTGAATAGAATAAAATCCTGCACAGTGTGCCACGAAATTATTAGAGATCACGCTCAGAATGGAAGAATACATACCTCATTCTTCAAAAAGACCATAATCTCCAAAAATCTGGTTCAACAAGAATTGATGTTCTAGAGCTGTTACCTTGAAAAAAGAGCCTAACATCGCTGGCGCAAAGACCTGAACCTTGTGACTAGAGCAGAATTCATGGCAGGAAGGAATAACTGCAGCAAAACAATAGATGCATCAAAAAAACCATACAATGCCAAAATATGATCAAAACTCATAGACTGTCCCAATAGCTTCCTTTCACTAATAAAAGTAGTTCATTCCCACCACTCTCTAAAGCCAACGGCATATTAGCAACAGCATCGCGGGAGAGAGCAAACATTTTTGTAGAGAGTTCTCAGCACACTTCACCTCAGATTCCCAGGAAAGACTGCCGCCAGATATCACCCGTTGAAAGTCGAATGCCCGAATTCATGTTTCGTCAACAAACTATCAGACGCATTCTACTCGGTCTCCAAACGACTGAAGCTAACAGTCCTATTCACCATCTCGAACAAGTCAAGTTTTTCTTCATCTTGCTGAAAAACAGCTAGAGTTCAACCAATTTCCAATAAAGGCAGCAAGAGCCTGCCCAACAACTATGGGCCAATTGCTCTGTTTTCAGTCATTTCCAAAGTAATAGAAAAAGTCAACAACATTGAGCTCATCAAATTTCCAGTAAGCTCAGGAATTATAATGGTTCGACAATATATCCTTCGCCACCAAAGATCAACTGGAGATTTATTGACCTACGTCAGCGATATATGGTAAGCTTCATAAGAAAATTGAAGGGACCGTGTTTGGCACCAAGGACTCCTCCATAAATTACTATCATATGGCTTACGACTTCAGCTATGCCATCTTTTATCGAGTTTCATTTCAGGCCGGTCGCTCTATGTGGTGGTGGACGAAATATCATCGCCATCAATTCCGGCGTTCCATAAAGATCCATTTCGGTACCAGCATTGTTCCTACTTCATATCAATGATCTGTTGGGAGCAACCACTTGCCCTATCCTCAGCTTTCCCAGATGATAGTACTCTCCACATAGGGTTTTCTTCTATAATTTACATTTTTTTCCAGGAAACTAAGATCATGACGATCTATCGCGAAAGCTGTTTCACAAAAACTCGAACTTTTGTTCTATGCGAAATTCTACTTTACTGTTCTGACATATGGGGTTATTACTCGGGTTATTAGCACCCAAACATACGCTGATTCTCTCTAAGATTTCATCCAGAAAAGAGTCATTCGCCTGGTGGGTGATGTCACACTCACTAATCATTTGTCCTGATTCGAATTTCGTAGAAAGGTTAGACGACCTCACACTTTTCTATTGACACTTCCACCGGAAATGTTCCTCAGAAATCTCTGATATAATTCCATCACTAGCTATACCGATGAGACGAACTCGTCAGGCCCAGTGAGCATACATCATTTCGTTGTCAACCTTGGAAGATGTCTAACAACGCCCTACCAAAACTCGTTCGTCTATTTAACGGCAAAGCTCTGTTCCCAAGAACTTACATCCTCCAAAACTCCAAAAAAATTCAACACCTACCTTCTCTTCCTATCCTCCCTATAGGTATACGCACGTACGATGTTCCTCAAACATTGAAGATTTATGTTCAAATGAATACAAAAGCTCGAAGTCAATTCCACACAATGTTCATAAAATGAACAACAATGGTAGATTTTGGGAGAAAAACAACTACTTTCCTGGCTAATGCCGATTTCGGGAGGATGTAATTCAATGTTTTGCGTGGCATTAGACTGGAAAGTAGTTGATTTTCTCCCGAAATCTACCATTGTTGTTCATTTTATGAACATTGTGTGAAAATGACTTTGAGCTTTTGTATTTATCTAATATATAAAATTATCCTGTACCAGTCACGGTGTTAGTGGTCGAACTTCCCCGAAACGGCTCGACCGATTCGTATGAAATTTTTTGTGCGTATTCGGTAGGTATGAGAATCGGTCATTTTCAAAATCGAATATGGCGGACGATTATCACTATCCGATTTCATTGAAAATTAGGATTTGGGTGTTTTCGGGGTGAGAGATTATGATTCGATCTTTCGTCAAATTTTGTAAATTCCAAATGGCGGATCCAATATGGAGGACGAGTTCTGTAATTATGGTCAGATTATATGCAAAATTGGTATCTGGAGGTTTAAGAGGTCGGAGATACGAATCATTTGTCAAAATAGGAAATTTAAAGATGGAGGATCCAATATGGCGGACGAGTTTTGTAATTATGATACGATTCTATTCAAAATCTGTATCTGGGGGTTTTCGGGGTCGGAGATTAGGATTTCATTCTTTGAAATGAGGGAATTCAAGATTGTAATAAATAGTAGTTTAAAGAACTATAATGAAACACACTTTAATAAATAGACAAACTCGAGGCCAAACTGAATAGAAGTAGAAAATAAAAATAGTTGTTTGAAATACTAATGAAACACGATTTCATGGATATTCAAACTAAAAAGAAGTTCAATACAAGATAATAAAAGTGTGTTGATGAATATATACCTGAACAAATATTTTTCAAAAGGAAATGTATATAGCAAAACAACGTGTGCTAGGTATCAGCATCAGCCATTGTAATAAATAGTTGTTTGAAAAACTAATGAAACACGTTTTTATAGATAGCCAAACTAAAAAGAAGTGAGTAGTAAATGAATGAAAAAATTAAGAGATATATATATAGAGTGCCGAACTAA